TCATGAAACACATTATCCTAGTTTACTGCATTCTAACTCCTGAAAGATCTGTTCGGATTGAGTGATCATATTCATCTTAAGCGTTATGGACGTGAAGAGCATCCGATCTGATGTTTTGAGCCGGAACTAACTTGTTTTCAGGAATCGTGCTTCTTGACACGCACAAATGGTTGAACGTGCATGTGAACTCTACTTTCTGTTTGTCAGTGTTCTATGTTTAGCTCGTTAGAACACTTTTTGAACACACGTGTAAGAAAACCAGGATCAGAAGTCATTTTAACATGCAGTAATGAAAAAATAAGAAAGTTTAGTCTGCTGCAGTTTTTCGACAATATATAGTTAGTTTGTTTAAAAGAAAACCTGATAAGTAGTTGCTGAAAAATCATATATATATATATATTTCCCAAACGATTCTTTACACACACAAAAATAAAAAAATAATAAATTTTGTTTTCCAATCTTAGTTAAGCACTTCACAAATTTACCTGTATGATAATGGAATAGTGAGTTTTAGAACGATACCTTGTCACTATAGTAATTGTAAAACTATAATTAAATTTATCACAATAATAGATTTGAAACAGAGTAGGTTTGGTATAGTTAGAAAGAAAGCGCCTAAAGACTGTAGTTGAAACTGATAGTTACATCAAAGTAATAGTGGATGTAATATAGTTGGAAGGAAATCATCTAGAGGCTAACAATTACGTCACAGTGGATCGTGGACATTGGAAAGAAAGCATCTAGAGGCTAATAACATTTACTTTACGGAGTTGTGGATCTTGAACACTTAGAAGGAAATCGTTTAGACGTTGACATTTACATCACAGTAGCAGTGGACCTTGAACACTTGGAAGGAAATCGTTTAGACGTTGACATTTACATCACAGTAGTAGTGGACCTTGAACACTTGGAAGGAAATACTTTAGACATTGACATTTACATCATAGTAGTAACTTATCTACGTTTGGAAAAACAGAATCTCCAGGCTCTACAGCTGGAATAGTTTACAGGTATAAATGTCGAGAGAGAGTTATGACTTCAAGTTATACAGATCAGAATAAGAGGAAACACAATACTTAAGATAGATAAATTATATGTACGATTTAGGGCAAAGATAAAAAAATAGGCTATCAGCGCTCGGTTTAGTGAGGGGGCAGATAGACAGATAAATAGAATATAAGTGACAGAAGTTCATAATGTGTAACGAATTCTAATGATTAAAAAAACAGTTCAAGTACATATTTTAAAGATCAAATGCTTCTGGTATCTCACAAAATTGTGTTTCCTACCCTATCTGATACTTGTGTAGCGCTAGAATGTTTTATTATACGGAACAAAATGGTAGATCATATGATAGTAAATATTACTCGTTATACGGAACAAAATGGTAGATCATATGATAGTAAATATTACTCGTTATACGGAACAAAATGGTAGATCATATGATAGTAAATATTACTCGTTATACGGAACAAAATGGTAGATCATATGATAGTAAATATTACTCGTTATACGGAACAAAATGGTAGATCATATGATAGTAAATATTACTCGTTATACGGAACAAAATGGTAGATCATATGATAGTAAATATTACTCGTTATACGGAACAAAATGGTAGATCATATGATAGTAAATATTACTCGTTATACGGAACAAAATGGTAGATCATATGATAGTAAATATTACTCTTATATAAAAATTGTTCCACGTCGAAGCACTTCTTTCCTTAGAATAAAAATTGTTACGTTAAAGTAATTCGTAAAACCGCAAAGTACTTATTAATGTCATCAAGAAGAACTGAGGGCTTCATCTTTCACACACAGCTGTAATAACTACTATTGGTCCAATTTAGTCATATAATTAAACAAATTCCAGAAAACACCTTTCGCCATGCAAATCTCAAGAGGTAAGCTTTTGTTAACACTAGTATTTTAGTCTAACAGTAGAAGAAAAAAGAAGGTCTTCATGTGGAACTTTTACTATTTTATTTCGTACACCAAAATATAACAAATAATCGTCGTCATGCTTCACGGCTGATTTATAGGTGTCGCTCTGTACATTCTAATGAAAAAACTCTGTTTTAATGCATTCATCTCCGAGATGGTTTTGCTAACTAAAACTTTTTTTTTTATATCTGACATCCCGTACACTATAGAAGAAAAATAAACATATATACAGAAGCAAGTGAACGTTGTGTATCTCCTTGTCTTAATAAATATATTACAGCTGGTTGATTGCTTGTGTATCAAGCATCAGTATACAAACCGAGTTTATTTTAATACCGGATTCTGTATATAAATATTTGAAAAAGGATTCAATTAAGAAGATGATTGTTTTTGTATATTCGAAAATTCGCGCAAAGCTACTCGAGGGCTATATGCACCAGTCGTCCCTACATTAGCAGTGATTAGCTAGAAGGAAGACAGCTAATCAACACTACCTATTGCCAATCCTTGGGCTATTCTCTTAACAACGCGTAGTGGGATTGACCGTCACATAATAACTCCCCCACGTCTGAAAGAGCGAGCATGTTCGGTGACAGAAATGTTGGTAAAAATCTTGTAAAGTAGTTTTAAAGACGTATAAAATACAGAAAAATGTGAAATTATTCTAAATATATTTAATGTTCCATGTAGATTAATAGTATTTTTATGTCTCTCTAATTTTATCCTTGTATTTCAAAAAAATACAAATATTTTAATAATTGATGTAATATTTTTTATATTATACTTGATGATAGATAAGCTGTGAATATTTTAAAGCTAAAATACCAAAATAATGTTATTCATATAGATTTCACAACTAGATTTAAGTTAGAAAGATAAAGAAAGATAATCCATATTCTATTTAGTTTATAGAGAGTAAGGTTCTCATCTTTAAGTATCCATTTACTGAATCCTTCATAATTGAAAACCTAGTTCGGCAATTTTTAAAAACATGTTTTACTTAGAGAGATACTTAATTTGAAGAAAATTATTCCTTGTTCAGAAATTGCTTCTTCATTATTCCCAAGCTAATAAAACATTATTTTTTCTGAAATGGATTATTAGGTTTCTAATAAACATATTTACTTTAGCTCTAGCATATACTTAATTTGAAGAAAATTATTCCTTGTTCAGAAATTGCTTCTTCATTATTCCCAAGCTAATAAAATATTATTTTTTCTGAAATGGATTATTAGGTTTCTAATAAATATATTTACTTTAGCTCTAGCATAAGGTTTCCGTCAAATATTTCACCGAAGACACAGTTTTTATTCACCATTACGTCCTGTGCTTTGTTTTAGTGTGCAAGCTAGATATTTCACTAAAATTACCAAAAACATATTTTGTTTTAATATCTTATAGTTCAAATAATAAAGTTTTGCAAAAAAAATGAACATTAATCTTATGAATGCGAAGCTTTTTCTTGAATTGAAGATCTTAAAAATTATCTTACTGTGAAATTCGCCATTCATACTGCAATTTCAATAAGATATTACTCTGTTATCATAGAATGATAACTATAGTATTAAGGGTACTTATCTCCAAATAAATAAAATATTTATTTCATTTGCATTCCGTCGTTTCGGTTTTACATTTATAACATGAGTTATAACTGCTGATGAGGACTGGCTATGACAGAAAATAAGATTTAGGAGAGTTAGATGTGTTTGAATAGGAAACGAAACATGTGATGTGATTGTATATAGTATTGTTACAAATAACTACAAACCACAAACTGTGGTCATATATTAATAATTTATTTTGAATTAGTAGTTCTTTTCATAAACATAAAAAGCTGTAAAGAACTTGTCAAAATTAATACACGCAAAATGACAGATATATGTTAAATAATGTTAAGTCTTTGTTCTGTAATCATTTACCTCACTCTATCTTAAGCGTCTGTTTCAAAACAGTCCTAGTATCTTTAACAAAACACTCCTAGTGCTTTTTGGTAACACTACTTTCCAACAATGGCTTTTATATGATGTCGCTTAGCAACAAAAGTACAAC